GATGGCCCGTGTGCAAGTTGCGCACGTTAAAGAACCCTTGGTGGTCTAAAATCGATAAGAGTAGGCTGAGTAGGCTTCGGCGGCCACCCGAGCAAAAATTCAATATCTTCTACCAACTGAAAAAGTTTAATGTGTCCCGTGCGCTCATATGACGTTATGCAGTTGCGAGCACAGTAAAAAACTTACCAAAAAAAAAAAGAAGAAAAAAAGAAAAAATAAGTGCCAAATGTTTCTGGGGGCCGCACTCGACTCTAGGAGGGGCTGCGTGTGGCCTGAGGGCCGGAGTTTGCCCACCCCTGCCACAAAGGAAACAGTCTTTCCTGTTTCTTCTTTTGTTATATTGTATTGTTGAGTTTTGATTGTCTGTTTTATTTTTACTTCGCCTCTGGATACCATTTTCTGTGAACGGCAGTTATTTGTTTGTATGTGTGTAAAATGTTGTTGTTGAGTTTTAATTTACAATTCGTTGGGACCATGACAGTGACAAATCAGAAAAGGACTCAATATCCGTGTACAGAAAAAAATAACGTTAGGCGAAAAATACGATTGACATCCCACAAACAATAATTAATCTAATCCATCAAAATATGCGACAGAGCGCATTACTAAATAAATTATTAAAATAAATAAATAAATAAATAATCGGAAGTATTTTCTGCGGTTCGGGCCAAAGTATTATATATACTATTATATCTTTCAATCCTTGAGACGGTTTTTTTTTCGTTTTTTTTTTTTTTTTTTTTTTTAACAGACGGGTTTCTGGTTATTTCGTTTATTTTGCTCTCTTTTTAAAAAATTTGATTTCCTTTTTTAATGTGTGCACCACCACCCCCACCCCCCCCCCTCTCCCATCTTTTTAATTAATCACTCTATACTACAACACTAAAAATGGGCTGCATTAAACGATTTTAAAAGTTATCAAAGTATTCTTTCAAGTATTCCATTTGACAGTGAATTGACAGGGAAAAGTAAAAAAAAAAATAGAAAGGAAAGGGAAAAGGAAAAAAAGTCGTGGGGGCGTCCCAAGCGTTGTTCCGCGGAGAAGCGTGGGGGCGTCCACAGGCGATGTGCTCCCTTCGAACGTCCAAACTGAAGTGACCACTTGGGGTGTACAACTGAGTGGTCAAGTCTTGATAAAAAGGAAAAACGAAGTGAATATTCGGACTCGAGTCCGAATATGAAAAAATGTTTTTCGGACTCTGCTTCTTGTCCAGCATGACATCACTTCCGACTTCCTGTAACTCGTGACTCCGGCTTCCTGTCCTGCCTCACTCGTGACTCGCCTCAGGCTGGGTAGAGACCGGGATTACTTCGGGCAAAAAGGCGTTTTGTGCAGGAGCCGAGTTTTAATCTTATGATAAATTTGAGGCCGGCCTGAAAAGTTATAGCGCTTCTAATAAATGTTTATTTTTCAAGAGGTCATCAGAAGCAATTAAAGATGGCTCGTTAGCGTGTGTCGGGGTCGGATGGGCGGCCTGCACACGTGTGGCTGTGTGCGTGTCGGGGAGGGGGTGGGGGGGTGTACTATCGGTCCGGGCGTTGAACGTCGCATACGCGTCAGTCTTTTACCCCCGGCAACTGATCATTATTACAATAATAGGCTAGTCTTGACGTAGATCTACGTAATGAATTGTGCGCTGGTCTATGGAATCAAAATTGCCGTATGCTCAGCTCTACACAGCAACACAACTTTTTCTGGATAAACAGCTCATAATATGCAGGTGCCAAGTGGTCTGCTAATCTTCAATTTCACCTTTTTCTACAACAAAGAAAGTGGGAAACATGGGGGGTGGGGGGCGTAACTAAGAGGCGGCGGGCATCGGATCGATCGGCAGAAAAGGTGTGGTGGGGGGGACTAAAAGATGGCGGAAAATTGGAAGCACTGAACGTTAGAACTATAGAACGAAGACACTTCCTTTTTTCCGGACCCGAGTCCGAATAACATTTTTTCATATTCGAACTCGAGTCCGAATAAGAATTTTTTTTTATTCTGACTCGAGTCCGAATAACGACGGCAAAGAAAAAAATGCTGCTGGAGCTCGGTTTTCCCGCCTGACGCCAGCAAGTCTATTGTCTGGTGACAGCCAGTGAGTTCTTTCACACCTAGCGAAATGCGCAGACAAGGGGAGCGAATTATGTATCCAGTGACCACGGCGGCTCACATCAAAGACACGCCGACAGCTCAGCGCCCGCTATGTACCTGGCTTGTTGGTCGGGAAGTGATTGAAGTTTTCAGTATGTGATTACGCCCTTGTTGTGGCGTTTTGACAGCGTCTTTGAGGGTCAGGAGGTGAGATCTAGAGTCCTGCCCCATCTTTGTTTATTGTTGTTTTAAGAAACAGGCGAGGCATTCCAGTTTGAAAGGGATTTCTTAAAATATTTTCATATGCTCTTAATTTCGCCGGTGAAATATTAGTAACAAACCAGTAGTCTCAAGTTAAAAAAAACATAATATTTCTTAAAACTGTTTTGGTACCTGACTTAAAGATTCGATACTATTCAGGTAAAAATAACACATGGGGCAAAACAATACAACAGTTGCAAGTCGGGCACTAAGTTAGAAGAAGGAAGACGGAAATAAGAGACAGAAAAAAAGTCAGGAAAAGAGAATATTATAACTCTAAATCTACATGTTTCATCGACTAGACCCCAAGCAACAAAGTGCGCACCTTTTTACACTCTACGTTGTGCTCAAGGTAACCTTTAAAAAAAAATTAAACTAACGAATCACCAAGTACATTGTTATCATAAAAGAACCAGACTTTTTTTTCATTCAGCAAACAAATTTCCTTTTAAATAACACTACGAATACAAGTCTCAGGTTTAGTCAACAGATTGATAAATGTAACCAGAAATACAAACAACTATTAATTTCCATTTGAAAAAAAAGAGTGCCGAGTGTTTCGTTTCCGCGGAGATGACTAGTCTCCGGTTTCCGGGACGCACTCGACTCTATGAAGGGCTGTGTGTGGCCCAAAGGGCCGGAGTTTGCACTCCCCTGCTACAAAGGAAACATTCTTTTCTGTTACTTCTTTTGTTGCAGTTTGTTGTTCCGTTTGTTTGTCTCTTTATTTTTGCTTCGCCTCAGGCTGTGCTATGTTCTCTATAACGGCTGTAGTCGGTTTGCAAGCTTTTGAAATATATTTTTTTAGTTGTAATTCAGAAATTGTCATGACAATTACAGTCAGAACTCACCACAAATCTGATCAGGACTGAATTTCTGTGTACAGCAACTCAACGCTAAAAAATAACAAAAGACGAAAACCAGGATTGAGACCCCACAAAGGACAATTTGTTTAATTAATCAAATATGCAACAGTGCGCATTATTATATAAATAAATAAATAATAAGTAAATAAATAACTAAATAGATAAATAGATAAATAGATTTATAATGGGAAGCAATTTCTGCGGTTCAAGTCAAAATATTATACATTATATTAATAATAATTATTATGTTTTTCAATCCTTGTCACGTTTTCTTGCAGACGCATTCCGACTTTTTTTCTTGGTTTTGTATTTTTATTTTTCAAATTTAAATTATGTTTTTTAATGCACCAAAGCCTCTCATCTTTGGAATAACGGCTCTATATCACAACACCGGAATGGGCAGCATGAAAAGATTTAGAGATTTTAAGCATTCTGAAATTGTTGACAGTGTCTTTTGGGGTCAGGAGGTGAGATGTAGAGTCTGTCACAAAAGTCAACTGTTACGCTAACGCCCAACTCAATCAGTGCTCGCCAACCTGGGCAATTTCACCCACTAGTGGACGATTTGGTAACTTTGGAAGGCGATGGGACTCACCAGCATTATCTAATGCCCCACTTTGAAATCTGGCATTTTACTGGGCTCTACAGATTTGTTTGCCTCTTTAAAGGTGGCAAAAGTAGGCTCTGGCTAAAAAAAAGGATGACAAACACTTAGGTAAATTCTTACTCTTTGAGAAAGTAACATCAGAGAAAGTTTATTATAATTAACAGCACTTTGAGGGAGAGGATGGGCTCAGAATGACGCAACAAAGTGTAGAACGTCTCTTGTTTTCTGAGAGTAACTACACCTGTCATTATCTGGCATTCTTTGTGCAAATTATACACACAACCACAAACACACACGCACACACACACACACACACACACACACACACACACACACACACACACACACACACACACATTATAAACACAGACACCGGTACAGAAGTGCAGACACGCACAAACATAATTTAGGGATACACAGACTAACACAGAGATACACATCTTAGTACAAATACTACAGTGTCTCTTTTTTTTAAAGGGACCCAATTAAAGCGCAATAATTCAGTCACTAGTGTACTAATTTTTAATAAAACTTTTTTTTTTAATTCAACCAAGGGACATCACATTTCTAAATATGAAGAAAATCCATCTACGCCTTCAAGAAATAGCAGATTTTTAAAATGTCAAACCAAATTCGGGTAAAACGCAAAATGTCATTTCTCATAAACGTTTAGCTACAGGAGTATGATCGCCTGTTTTGGTTTCAGGACAAGATCGGTAAAACCACATCAGTCACATCAGATGTATATGTCACATTTCTGAGAAACTTTTGGAGCAATTTGGATTGGAGAAGGTGTTATGCTGTAGAGACCTGGTTCCAGTGGGATGGGGCTGCACCCAAAATTTCTAGAATGGTCCGTGTATGGTTGCAAGAAAGGTCTGGGGAACTTCGTACAAGCCAAACGCTTACAAATGAATGGTCACCACATTACCACCAGACTTGAGCACTTTAATTATTTAACCTTTGAGTTTATT